TACTAGTAGCAAATTTTATAACTGCAAAAAAGAAGACAGCAAAAGCAGCAGCACAAAATATGACAATCCAACATATGAATATGCCAAATTTATGACGTCTTTGAATACAACCCTCTATGAAAGTGTAAAATGATTAGTAAATAAAAATCAAGATAATAAAAACGAATAAATAATAATAATAATAATAGTAATTCAAAACTTACTTTCAACTTCTTCTTCTTCGCCTACAAGAACATGAGATGTAAATTAAGACATAAATATTAAAGTTTATGAAAAAAATCATTTCGAATACAGTATTAATAATAACAACATACCATAAATTTCACTTTCATTAATTTCAATGTCTTTAGAACTAATATTTCCATTAGAGAAAGTAACACTACCAGTTCCAAAAGTATGTTTACTTTCTAAAATAACGCCTTTAATATCGTCATTAAATTCTACATTAAAACTCTTTTTTCCACCATTATGAATAATTTCATCTTTATCAACCCAAACAGGTTCAAATTTTAATCTTCCTAATCTAGCTAAAACATCGGAAATTGTTGGTCGAATATTTGCATCTACATCCCAACATTGTTCATATAAATCTACTAATTCAAGAGGTGTACCACCTATTGGTCTTAATCTTAGTCCTTCAAATAATCTTATTGCTAAAGGTTCATTATATGGTAAATTTTCGAAAGGTTTTTTACCACTTGTTACATCATGCATTAGTATACCTAATGAATAAATATCGGAATGTTTATCACGAGGGTATGTTGAAGATGATAAAAAGTTTGGATCTATATAGGGTAATGATGGTATTATTGAAGATTTTTGTGATGTAGATTTAGATATTCCAAGATCCGATATCATAAGTTGTCCATTGTGAATAAGTATATTTTGTGGGTGCTGTTTTTTTTTTTTTTGATATATAAAATATATATTAGATCATTATCATTATTTCTAATTAAATACGTTATACTTTTAACTTATTAATAATTCAATTAGATAAAATTTTTGAATAAATATAAACAAATCCTTATCAAACGACCTACAACAATTGTTTCAAAAGTCTCTCGAAATGTCGTTTATGTTAATATAATAACAATTCCTTTCTTAATAGTTCGGAATTCCCTCTTCTAGTGTATTCCGTTATTCCTTTTATCTTTTTAGTCATTTTCTTCTTTTTCTATCATTTAAATTCTATTTTAGCATCCTATTGTTTTCCTCACCTATACTTGTTTTATTTCATCCCTTTTTCCGCTCCGCCTCAAGATTTTTTTTTTTTTTAATGACAAAAAAGTAATTTTGTATAACTTCATAAACAAACTTGAGACATTTTCAACTTTTATGCTAGTATATTATCTCATCTTTACAATTTAGGCGGTAAAGAAACGAATACATATTTATTAAAAAAAAAAAAAAAAAAAAAAAAACTTCTATGAAAAAAAAAAAAAAAAAAAGCAAATACGAAACGCATACATTTACATATATCTTACCAAACACTTTACTATTAGCCTGTTACGTTAAAAAAAAAGAATTTCTTTATACCGTTGAAACATATTACCATTAAACAATCGAATATTATTTCACTCTATTTAATAGTCATCACATACACATAAACAAAAAAATGACTTCACTACCTACGGACTCTTTTAAAATTACCCTTACAACTACAACCACAACCGAAATAATTGAAAATAATGATATAACGTCATCGTCTATTGAGTCTTCTGAACCTGAGAATTCATTAGACGTCACAATACCAGAGAATATAACGAAAAGTACATCCTTATATGTAAATCAAGATTTAAACCGATCAGCGATGTCGTTAGCAACTGTAGATTATATAGTTCCATCAAATGATCCAAGAAACTCAACTCAAATATTTAAATTACAGTTTATTGATTATTCGGAATTTGTAGATATAAGTCAATTGGGTGATAGTAAAAGTATTACAGCTAATAATGATGATTATAATGAGACAAGTGAAAGTAAAGCATTAGTTGATAATGTATGTGTGTTTTATAATATATATATATATATATATATATATATAACCGTTTTAAAGATTCTCGAATCTATTTTATAAATACTTACCATTTTTAATTTCTTAAAAAATAGATTAACTTACTTTATAAATTGAGTTTTCATAAGAATATATTACCAATATTTGGATATAGTCAAAGTAAGTTTTTTCTTTATCTATTTATATATGCGTAACAAAAATTTTCGTTAACTTATATTTAATAATAGACCCTCAAAGTGGTG